AATGCGATTTTCGTACTTTTGAGAGTTGCCGTTATATGCGAGGTGGCAATAGCAGTTATCGCGTACACAGACAAACAGACAGACATGATTAAATCGCCTCGTCCCGTCATTCCATGATGCTTGATATTCGTGTATCGCATCTCCGTTGTGCAACCGTTAGCTGAATAAACGCACAGACTTGTATTGTATAAAAAAGCTCAAATGAATGCTGCGCTTTGTTCAAAATATACATTTTTTTTTTCAAAATGTTACGATTTCATGCTATCGAAAATCAACACAGAGCGTGCACTCAACAAGTTTTTTTTTGTTTTTCGAAGAACAAAATACTAGGGTCCAAAATGTGCTTGTCTGCGGTAGACCACTTAGTTGTGCCTCTAAGAAATCGATATTCACATACGATGATGAATAGACAAAAAAATTTGCATTTGCTAAGGGGACCTCCAGTATTGTGTAGATTAAGTTAAAAAAAAACACAAAGAAGTAATACTCAAAGGGGCACATATTTCATATTACGGTAGAATACACCTTTATAAATAAGATATTAAAATTTCAAATCGATATCTCAAATAGTTTTTGAGTTATAGCAATATAAAGAGCAGCCGCTCGGCAGCTGGAGAGTCTCATTAGCTACGAGTCAAAACGATAATTTTATCTTTAAACGTGTTTTTCTCGAAACAGCATTTTCCGAATTCGCTGCGGTGATTATTCAAAAACAAATGATCCGATCATATAGTTCTCCTTACAATGAGCTATCGATTTTTGATCTGATCAAAAAATCGAATTTTGGCAGGCAAAAAACGACCAAAATTTTGGGTAAAATTCGACAATTTTTTTTTAAACGCCGCGATATTGTCAATTTTTGATTTTTTTATCGTAGGTCATTGTACAGACAATATTATCTAGTAGAGAATTTTTGTTTTTAGATTTCATCCACGGAGAAGGCCGGAATTACTGCAGCAGTGAAAAACCTTTTTTTTGCGCCGTTGGAGATCGAATATAACTTAAAAAATATTTAATTTTTTTCTTCAAAAATTTCACGGTATATTCTGGAAACATGTATAAATATTTTTTTTAAATTTTGAAATAATTAAAAAAAAATTTTTTAATAAAAATTACCAAAAATCACCTTTCTTTAGGCCTTTAGACTAGTTTTCCATCTTAGGAGCTGGGAGAGCATGTATAAAAAAAAATGTAAAAAAACAGGCTTTTGGTCTTACTGATAACAAATATACTAATTTGATGATTAACTAGTTGGAATTATGGTCACCCCTGAGTAGAAAAAAGTTACTCGCATATCAGAGATTCAATGGTTATTGTTAGTGTACTCGAAAAAAGTATGCTATTCAAGCGATTGACAAACGGGATGTGACCAAAAGTCTTGGTGAATTTTTTTACTAGAAAAATATGACCTTGAAATATTAAACTAGGCGGTAAAATTTGATGCGCTAGCCATCGTAAATGGTAATCTGACAATTATTTAATTGGCGCCTTGTAACCGTTGAAGCGATTTTCGGCCGAGCTCCTTTTCCAATTTATGGTTTTGCGTCTTGATGTTTTTCCAACAAGTGGAAGGGCCTACCGTTTATATTAAGCGGCTTCCGAACGGTTGGTGGTTTTTTGTGAGGAGCCTGGCACTGCTGCGAACATTAGAATTGGAGAGTGATTTTGAGTAAGTTTCGTATCTCTTTGGTTTTTACTGGCTGAAATTTTCCCAGCACGAATTTGTGACTTTCTCTCCAAACTAAACGTCAAAATGTGCTCACTCATTACTAGTTTTACTGGGTTGTTGGCTCAACGAAAACGATTCAGTAAAGTCCAGTAAAAATTGTTATTGCTCATCTGAAAACGAACAGAAATTTTACAGTGATTTTCGCGATATTGGTGTAGTAAAAAGAAATAAATTATTTTTATATAAAATTTAATGATTTAATTTTTGTTTGTTGTGTTGTTTTGAAAGGTATTGAAAATAGTTATTTTGATTTTGCTTCCAATTGTACAGGTTTCATATTTTCCTAGAGACATGTTCTTTATATACATTTGCTCATTTTAGCACATACATACATACATATAGATATATAGAACGGTATAGTTATTGTAATGTGTTTCACTTTAATCATTTTCATTTATTTTTTGTTTTTGTTTAAATGGCGGTCATGGTGTCGGCGTTTTGAAACGCAAGCGGAAGTTGGTGATAAGTCGCGATTATAAGTCCATCCCCGTCGAATGAAGCATATTACAATATTTTATATGTATGTATATATTTTTATATAAGTACATGAGTATATTTTATATGTAAATTTGTTATAGATATTTTAACAGTATTATTTACATTTATAAAATTTATTTAAATACAATCTTTTGTTAATATTTTGACGAAAGCTCACCAAAAGCTCTACGACAAAGTTGCTGATACAAGACTTCGCGGCATTTTTAGGATCACTCGAGCTGTGAAAATTGTATGGCTTAGATTTAAGATTACTCAAAAAATACCAGAAGGAAGGGGGACTTCTAATTTTTCGTTAATATAATATTAAATGGTGTATCCAAAGGATTAAAAAAAAGGAAGGAGAGCAGTCTTCGGCCATGCCGTCCTCTTTATACCTTTGATTTTAGGATTAAATAAAAATCCGTATATCTGAAAAAATCAGTTACCTGGTAGCTATATGTTATATTGATCCGATCTGGCCGGTTTCGACAGAGACAGAGAATAGTTGGCGTTCTAACAGTCAAACATACAAAAATTGACTGAACTAACTCAGCTGGTCATTTTATCCCGATGGGTATAAATTTGGATGGGTCTATCTGTCTCTTTTCCTTCTGGTACTTATGCATATACTTCGGACCAAAGTTATGATATATTAACGTACCTTCATGATGTATTGGGTTTGTAAACAGTCATTATTTTTGCTTTAAATTGAAGGCCTTAAAATCCACGGTTAGAATTTCTGTGAAATAACTTTTGCTATTTTGATTTGATTTTTTTTTGTCTTTCTCATAGAAACTCTTGTCTCTATCGGCAAAAACTTGGAACATTCGATTTTCATAGGCTTATAGAATTGACCTCAATTCTTCACCAGCCTAATCCTTCGCCATAGACAGCAACATATGGTAATAGTTTGATGGGAGCTCCGAACAATCTGGCTTGGAGGCCATCGACTGGGACTGTTGCTATAAGTGATCCAATTTTCATCACCAGTCCCCAACCGCTTAAGAAATGGATTGATACAGCAGCGATTTGCAGATGGAAATTCGATCCATTTTTCTTCTTAACTCATGAAGGCATCCATGTATCGAGCTTATTTGGGTACCCAGCCATTTTCAAGTGGTTCCAAGCTGCTTTCTGTGTAATGTTTAGCTCGTGGGTTATTTTACCAGCTCAACTTCACTTTTCGATAATTCCAAATGATTTTGTGGTTTTTTTTATGTTTTCTATAGAGACCGTCTAATTTGGACGTCCACTGCGTTGTTCATCAGCAGCCAGAACAACAACATTTTATTGTTGCTACTGGTGGAGCAGAGACCTTGTAACCCGCTACTAGGCTTGAATTTTTCCATCAAGAAACAGTTTAAAGTTAAAATATGAAAAGTAAGTTCACCAAAGTCGTCAAACTCCAACGACGCCCAGCAGATAGAAACGGCTTAGAGTTGTACCATCATCTCACCACTAAAATAAGACACTTGATGCCGTGCTGCTTCCGTCTGTAAACAATTCATTTGACAATTCTCTTTCTGTTAATGTTGTCAGTGGTTCGGTGCCTTGCAATCCCACGAATTACTGGCACAACTAAGGTGTAAAAATTATAGTAGACTCAACTCAACTCAACTTCCTCTTGCAGTGGGCAAGCTCGCTATTCCCTCTGCTCTAAACCGCAATAGCACCAACTACCAAGCACAACAACAAATCACTTTGGAGTAAGTTACATACTAAATATAAATAGAGCGTCCAAATTTATGCAATAGTTTTCCAATAAAACTAGCGCCATCTATGTGTTCGGCCCGTGGCTTTTCAGCTCATGCGTTCCATAACAGGGAAAATAGAAAAAGTTTATAGTCAATCGGAATATTCATTACAAGATTTCTGAAAACAAACAAATTTTTGAAGCCTGGAAGATTATCATAATTACTTATTTTTTTTTTTTGGTTGAAAAGATTTCTTTCCTAAATGTGGTCACATCTCGTCAGACATTATCATCTATCAAAAAAAATTGATCAAGCTCTCGATGGCGGCTTAAAACTGGGAGGAGGAGCTGGCAGGCAATAACTTATTGCTGGTCCTTTATTTTTAAATTCGGAAGGTCCGGGTTTATACATGCGGTGCAAGCAACATCCAAAAATAATGGAAAATTAATTTAAAAAAAAAAATTTCTAATTGCGGTCGCCCCTCGGCAGGGAAAGTCCACCCCTCCGAGTGTATTTCGGCCGTGAAATAAAGACTCCTCATAAAAAACCATCAGCCGTTCGGAGGCTGCTTGGTATAAACTGTAGGTCCCTCTATTTGTTGGAAAAACCACAAATTGGAGGAGCAGCGCGGCCGAAAACTCGCTTCAGTCTCTAAAATTTACATGGAGACTGAGTCTTTACTGGCCGAATATTTTCCAAAAAAAAATTACATTTTTTTAGTACAAAAAATAGAACACAAATACTCAAGCACAACTCGAGGCCGCTTCATGAATTATGTCTAAGCGTTCTTACTAAAAATATAAATTTAAACAATTCATAAAGCTGATAAGATTAAGTAAAAGAACCAAGCACAAAAATAAAAAATTAAGTAAGCCACAAACGCTGGACGAGGTCAGCCGCCAGCATACATATGTACTTACACACACACAAAGCGTTCATTTGTTACACTAACTGGGCTTATCTTCCCGTCTTACTTTCAGCATTATCGCAGCTTAGAGCAGCTCTCTTAGAATTTTAGTCCGATCTTTTAAATATTCTAAATTCATCAGCACAACGAGCAGGTTTATATTTCATATTGAATTTTTGTTTTTTTTTTGTAGCTGTGAAGAGTACTAGAAGCTTACGCAACCATGAAGTTGCTGCTGCTGCTGTTGGCGGGCTTGTTATGCCTGGTGCCTACATTCGCTGAGGAGGAGCTATCCGATTTCGATTTGGACGAATTGGTGGATGACGATTTCGGTGAGAGTGCAGAGGAGATGCTGCGTCAATTGGAGCAAAAGAACCAGGTAAGTGGTTTGGGTGAAACTACACATTCCGAATCATATACTCGTAATAAAGATTTGTAGTAAACCAAACTCCTTTCGATTTCAGAAAAATGATTTGGAACGTGAAAATGAACTCGCTAATAAATTTGCCGCTGAAGCCAGAGACCAGCAGAATAACGTATTGCAACCCGTCGTTGAAAGTGAGTAACAGTCTCGTAAAAAGACACAAGTTATCTGAGTATTCATTACCGTTTTTCTTTCGCTTAGTTGATCCATGTGAGAAGATGCACTGCGGTGCTGGTCGTGTCTGCCAGCTGAATGACAATGAAGCCAAATGTGTGTGCATACCCGAGTGTCCTGAGGAGCCAGATGCACGTCGTCACGTCTGCACGAACCGCAATGAAACTTGGCTTTCCGATTGCGCTGTCTACCAGCAGCGTTGTCTTTGCGACACTAATGCACCTGGTTGCTTGAAACCCGAAAACAGTCACGTTCACATCGACTACTACGGACCATGCCACGAAAAACGCGAATGCTCCGAAGAGGATATGAAAGATTTTCCACGTCGCATGCGTGATTGGCTTTTCAACGTGATGCGTGATTTGGCCGAACGTGATGAGCTCACCGAACATTATATGCAAATGGAATTGGAAGCGGAAACCAATATGACACGTCGTTGGACTAACGCAGCCGTCTGGAAATGGTGTGACTTAGATGGTGACACTGATCGTTCGGTATCACGTCACGAACTCTTCCCCATCCGTGCGCCATTGGTCAGTCTGGAGCAGTGCATTGCACCATTTTTAGAATCTTGTGACTCTAATAATGACCATCGCATTACTTTGGTGGAATGGGGTGCTTGCTTGGAATTGGATGAGGTAACTGTTGCAATTAACGGTTAATTTAGAGATATCTCTAAATACCATTTCTATTTATTTCAGACCGATTTGAATGAGCGTTGCGACGATATTCACAGAAATACACCACAATTGCTTGGCTAAAAATTGGCTGAATACGGACGAAGTCCAGCCAAAACGTTTGAAGCTTTATTTTCTTTAACACTACTCTAAAATACATATGTATGTATGCACATATATACATATATGTAAATGTTAATTGTGTGCCTAATAGTTTCTGTATATGGAATCATTCGATTTATGCTTATCAGCGAATATTGAGATTTTAGCTTATAAATAACAGTAATAAAATTTTATAAAATTTAAAAATGGACAATAGTTTTGTTGGAGACATGAGGAAAGTCCTTGTTCTTTGATCAAATAGGGCCCATCGGTATCTCGGTAATCGAAACTCGATTGATTTTGTCAACATCAATATCAAAGTTGATCTTTAAGATTCGAGCCTGTCAATTGAAAGCAGAGCTAACGGTACAATAAGACGACTCGATTTGTCGATTGTCAGGGCTGCGGAATTTGAATGTGCGTACCACCGGACATACATGTCTAAACTTATCCTAAGCTGATTGGACGGGTTTCACAGACTGAACGACAGTCTTCCCAGAGAGAAATACCCGCTTCATTCGGTCGCATTGCGGAAATTTATCCGAATTCCCTAACCGAATCTAGCATTAACGCGTGCATTCTAAGCCAGCCCGATTGGGAATGTCCCAGCAAAAGGGAATATGGCGACACGACAGCTGCTCGATAATCAGAACCAGGCCAAGTGGGTCTTTCAACAACTACTCTGTTGCAACCAAATTGTGGTTAAATGTCAAATATCTACCTAACCCGACGAGACGTATCGCCTTGATGAAAATCTCATACAGTGAACGTGCATTGTCGGATCTGAAGTGCTTCTGGAGTTACTTTGGCCTACTGCAGACTTTGGTAGACAGCTTCACAAAGACAGTTATACGCCGTCTGCGCAAACTGGTAACCACCAGCACAACGCTTGTTTTACCAGAGTAGAGGTTCAGGGAAAAGTGGGTGCATACTTCCTCACCAAGGCATTCAATCTGCCTCTGACGACTTCAACGGCGGACAGCATGTGAAAACAGGATAGTGTAAAACACTTGGGGACCTGCTTCTTGACAACATCAACTACCTTTGTTCCGAAGCGGGTTGTCTAACCGTTAAAAGAACCACAACCAATTACATTACGGTGCCTGAAAGTATGCAACCACTGCTGAAATAGTTTCCCAATAGTACAAAAGACAACGAGAACCCACTTAGTGAGCTTGCTAAAAAGAGTGTGCAAGATATTTTATGCTTTTGGTTACAGCTTGGTCTTATAGTAAATCGTATTCTTCGGGTCTGTCAGACGAAGAGCTCGAGCTGCCTCGACAGTACCGGGTATTACTGGCAAATTTAATGTTGTTACCTGTTAACCTAAGCGGTTTTAGGTCGCTGACAGCCCTTGGCCGGATAAAATCCAGGTCAACTCCGGTGCGTAGAACCAGCTGTATTGAGAGTTGTGCATGTGGAGAGTCTCCGCACGACACTAACCACCTCTTCACATGCCCCCTTAAGCCGACACATCTAACCCCACTCTCCCTCTGGTCTGTTACCATCTGAACCTTCCCTTAGTTGACTTCGGTGACTCGGTGAGATGAACCCCTAAGCGGGGTTAACGTAGCCGCTACAACAACAACAACTGGCGCAGCTAGGATCTGGATATTGTAGTGGACTTAATTCCTACTTATACATACTCAAAGTATATGTCCCCGCACAACACTAACCTCTTCAAAACAATTCCTAGATGTCTCATTAGATGACATTTTTGACTTACACGACTGATCTCGCCTGCTAGCAAATTAGTAAACCACTACAACAACAAGAGTATTATCGTTGAAGGCGCATCATAATACCTTATGAGAATTGGTAGTCACCCTCAGGGGCAGCAGATCAAACGTGCCCAGCCCAAAAGTATGCAATAAAAGGCATTCCCTTTTGACGCAAGAATGTATTCCCATATAAACGATTTTATGTCTCACAATACGCCTAGAAGTACGCAGCTATTATTCTTGATGATCATAATGCCGTGCTATATATGTATGTACCCCAAACCTTTCTCTTAAACCAATTCATATACGACTCTAATGTTCTGTTCTTGATTAAACTATATATGTATTTGGTCTTCTCTAAATTTCGACAATTTTACATTTTATTTATTTATTTTATGCTTTCATCAATTTTTTTATTTGCGTGTAAAATATTGTTTTAAAGTTAGGCTTTTCGTTTAAGAAAAAATTATATGATAATTAATATTACTTGTATAACAATACGAAAATTATCATAAGTTGTTAAAAAGAAATGTTATTATTAAAATAAAAATTAATACCCCTGGGAGAGAATTACAGTATTTTTTCTCTGTGGGTCTTGAACGTTGTCCTCCTGAGGAAGAAATAAAAATTTTATATTATAGATTATGTCATTTACATACATTTTTACTTTGACACCTACCTTCTTGCCAATCAACGACTTATGAATATGTGGAATGACACCACCACCGGCAATGGTTGCTTTAATCAGACTATCAAGTTCTTCGTCACCACGAATAGCCAACTGCAAGTGACGCGGTGTGATACGTTTGACTTTAAGATCTTTTGAGGCGTTACCTGCCAACTCTAGTACCTGAAAGATAATAAAAAAATAAAATACATATTTTTAATGAACCCAAAAAAATTTGAATAAATCTATGAATACAGAGACATCAATGTAAATAACTTCAGACCTTGGCAATAGCGCATATAGCATTTCAAAAATTTTCGATATTATCACGAATAAACATATACGTGTATGGAGTATAAATAAATTAAATTATTTTATTTAAAAAAAAAAATGTATACATGTATACATAAAGATATTGTGCATTAGAGATATTTTGCAGTTTAATTTTTTGCCCCCTTTCAGTTTACTGCAGCAATAATATTTACACATTTACTATAAAAAACGAAATAAAAATAAAAAATGGCGGGCAAATGACGCTTCAAAACAAAACTCCCAAAAGCCACTTCGAAGTTGACATTACAAACAGCGTGAAGAGTACAGCACACACGGACAAGAACATGTATACATACATACATAACTGAATCAATATACAAAAGATGTTTGCTTTACGCCGGGAATAATTGGGCGCAGTTTCACACACATATACAAATATTTCTATTTTAATTGCCGAGTTTTCCACAATGAAAAATTCTACTTACTTCAGCAGTCAAATATTCCAGAATCGCAGCGGAATAAACTGCAGCCGTTGCACCTACACGACCATGGGATGTTGTACGGCTTTTTAGATGGCGATGTATACGACCAACAGGAAACTAGAACACAAATATTATTATTGCAAATACATTTCAATAACAAAACTACAATCGTAAGGAATTAAAAATAAATATACAATTTTAAGTTGAAGAAAAAAATTAATGCTATAGAGATGACGAAAAAAGGCGCGAAAATGTTCGATAGTGGCGGTACAGCCGCTGCACTTCTTAAACTGCTTACCTGAAGTCCCGCTCGTGCTGATCGAGATACTGCCTTTGCTTTTGCTTTTCCCGAATCTTTACCAGCTTTGCCACCAGCCTTTTAAAGAAAGTAAATGTTTTAGTCATATAAGTTCAATAATTTCAAATATTAAATTGCGCCAAAATCGCCGGAAAACGCTGGCCAATGTGAGGTTAAACACGAACATTTAAATTTAGTCACTGGCAGTGTGCCCGCTCAAATTCCTACTTTATACGGCCTAATTACACTCCCTTAAATCAAAAATTAATAAAATTCAATATTTTAGCTTTCTATCTTTTTCTTAATATTTCACAACGCCCCACAGTACTTCGCAGCACGCGCACTCACATTAACGAAGTCCATTGGCCAACGCCAGCAAACAACGCGTACTACTAGCTAAATCATTCACATTTTCACAATTTACCATTTTATTTAATTTCTATTTTTGTACACAAGCAGAACGAAAATTCCAAATAATTTTTACAACACTTTGGAATGGATTAACACCCGATTAATATTTTTTTTCATAAATTTTCCTTGCACGACAATATTTTTTCTACTGGCAGAGGAACGTCAAGTCCGAACGCTACGAAGTTTTTTTCACGAATGACGCGTTCGCACAATGCAAAACACTTCGTGGCGCTGAACGAACATCATTCACAACAAGGTTGCATTTGTATATTACAATCTCCAATTGACGTACAATTAATACCCAAAAATTAAAATAATAGCGAAATATGCATTCGCGAGAATTTTAAATTTTAATTTAATTTTTTTATTGGATTAATTCTATAAGTTAACTTTTAATCTAAGTGTATTTCCCTGAAAAGTGTCTGCATGTATTCTTTCACTTAGCATAATACTTTTAATTTTTAATTTACCAAATTCTTTCTCAGATCGCTTATTTGCCTCAAACGTTTTTAAATGCAAAATAGTATTGAAGATGATTTAGTTATTATATATAGTATATTCCTAAATGTTTGGCGAGGATTACTTGATTTTTCTTAGTACAGCCTATATTTTCAATCCTTTTCCAATCTATTATGTGCTTTCTTAATTAAAAAATATCAATATAAAGTTCAGCATATTGTTCTAATTTATAAGATCATCGTTAGGCTGAGAGTTCTTATATCAAGAAAAACTAAACTTCAATCGGTTATTTGCTATCAATATCTAAGTATTGAAACAAATTTAGTGTATTCACGATTTTCATACAATTGAAAAAGTTAACTTTGTTATATTTTGTTAAAATTTCAAAACAAAGAAAGGAAAGATTTACATGCCTTATTTTTTTTTTGTGGTAAAGGGTTTAGATGGCATCGCTTTTTTAGTAACCAAAAAGAAAGAAAAATACATCGAAAGCGAAACGAAAATCCAAAATAGGATTCAACGGTCCGATAAAATAGAAGGTGAAAGAACACAAACGCCGAAGAATTGGCGCGTTTGCTTTAGCATTTTGAAACTTTACATTAATTTGTGAAGTAAAAAGAAAGAAAGTATGCCTCGAGCTGTTAAAACAAAAACTGGTGCTTTAGCAGCCGGTGTTCCCAAAAAGGGATCAGCTCCAAAAAGAAACAAATTATATGCTATGCCAGAAAAGATCTCGGAAGGCACAATCCTTACTGATCTGTCAAAAGCTCAGTGGTCTATAGGTTCATCAATTGGCACTGGTGGATTTGGTGAAATTTACTCTGCTTGTCGAGTTGGAGAAAAAAATTATAACTACGTAGTAAAGTGCGTAAGTAGTCAAATGAAACATGATGAAATACACCAGAAATTATACATACAATTTTACTTTTGCAGGAGCCACATGGTAATGGGCCATTGTTTGTTGAAATGCATTTTTATATGCGAAATGCCAAATTGGAAGATATTAAACGATTTCAGCGTGAACATGGTTTGAAATCTCTTGGTATGCCCTATATGATAGGTAATGGTTCAGTTGAACTAAAAGGAATTAAACATCGGTTTATTGTTATGCCGCGATATGGTAGCGACATCTCAAAGTTCTTTTTAACCAATGGGCGCCGCATACCCGAGGGTACTATATATCGACTGGCAATACAAATGTTAGATGTCTATGAATTTATACATTCGTGTGGATATGTGCATGCAGATTTGAAGGCAGCCAATATTCTTTTGGGTTACGGTAAAGATGGTAACAATCAAGCCTATTTAGTTGACTATGGATTAGCGTCGCATTATACGACGAAGGATTTTAAACCAGATCCAAAGAAAATGCATAACGGTACCATAGAATACACATCTCGCGACGCTCACCAAGGTGTACCAACAATGCGCGCCGATTTTGAAATATTGGGATATAATATAATAGAATGGTCAGGCAGTCAATTGCCTTGGGTCAAGAACAACATTCTTACAGTACCCACGAAAGTGCAGAAGGCAAAAGAAGAGTTTATGGCGGACGTACCTAATTCCTTAAAAACCTTATATGCTAAAAGTGTTCCAGGTGAGTGTTTTTCGTGTTAAATATAAATAATATATTGTAAAACTTATTGAAATTGTATTAACAGGTCCTATAATTGAGTATATGAAGTATGTAGCTAAGTTGGAATACAATGAAACCCCCGACTATGAAAACTGCCGTAAAATATTTAGTAGCGCTCTAAAAGATATGAAAATACCTAATTCAGGAGAATTACTTTTCGCAACAAAAAACAAAGAGAGTCCCGCCCCCTCCACCAGTAGGGCTCGCCCAAAATTAGTTGAAAGGCGCTCGGCAGCAAACGATACATCTGTAGAACTATGTGCTAGTGACGACGACGATGATGATGTAATATTTGAAGAAAAAGAAGTGGTAAAAAAAGCACCGCAAAGAACATTAAAAACTATTACTAAGCGTTCCCCAAAAACTGCCGTAAGTCCTAAAAGAGCCATAGTACGCGGGTCTCCTGATGTGAAAATCTCTTCAAAGTCTACACCAAAAATAACGCCTTTACGTAAACGTCGGTCAACGTCATTCTCGCCTTCTAAGGCACCAAGATCTTCTCCCCTGGCTAAAAAGTCAAAGCCAACTCCTCGTGAAGCTGTAAATGGTAAACGCAGCACACCAAATACATCCGCTTCATATACAACGCGCTCGACACCAGTCGCTGCTACAGCCAATATTAACTTCAGCCCAGCTATCTCTTTATCAACAGCGCGTCCTGGAAAGACAATTGTTAATGATAATACTACTCCAGTGCCACGTGCCGGCAAAACGTATGAATTTAATTTTGAGTTGGATGTTAGCATGGACGCAAATGTCGTAGTGAACGTGAAACGCAAAAAGAAAGCAACAGCCAACAGCACCAAGGGCGTTGATAGTACGGGACAGAGTAGTTCTAAATCATCGCGCGCTACTGCGCAGTCTACAAAAAGAGATCAAACACCAGAAAACGACAAAAATACCCCTGTTACACGAGTCAAAGTACGGAAGCTTCCCAGTGATGATGCATGTGATAGTCCACGCACGCCTGCTGTTACTGTGAAAAAATCAAAGCGTATAGTTTCATAAAATATTTGCTTAATTTAATATTTTACATAGATTTTGGTCAACACTCTCCGTACATTCTTTTTTAATTGTTTGAATGTTTGTAATTGTTTCTTACTAACTAACCATTTGTTGAAAAAACGTAAAATTCCGTTCCCTTTCATTACTATTTGACATCATCGTCCGGGCAAGGGATAGAAAATTAAAAAAAAAATGTTGCTTAATACGCTAAATAAATTTTTGTATGAAAATATTAGTGATTGATTTTATTGTCTCTCAAAACCTTTTTCAATCTTCCAATCAAATTCAAATGCGTACCACAATTCACTTTATAAAATTTTACTTAATTTTCTTATTATCTGCATATTAGTACAAAATAATTAGACAACCATTAAATGCATGCAAGTCATTTGGGTTTACGTTTACTACTGTCGTGATGTTTCGACGACGACTTCGATGAAGATGATTTGCTAGATGACGAGGAATGTGACGATGATTTTTTTGATGAATGAGACGAACTCTTGTCGCTTGCACTAACAACGTTAAAAGTTGGATTGATAGCACTGCTTGAAGAACCCGACTTTGAACTACTCGATGATGGTCGCTCCTCTTTATGCGACCTAGAACTCTTGTGATGGTGATGCCTACTTCCAGATGATGAAAGAGTTTGTGCCGGTGGAGCCGTTGAAGCTGATGTTGTGGGTGCGTCATGCTGCACAACTGCAAATGGTGAGGATGAATTTGAAGAGGATGAGGAACGTGAGGATGTAGCCGAAGACTTTGTTTTTGATATCAATGATATTGGTTCGTCAAGTACGACACCCGCCGCTTTACTAGTTGAGGGTTTATTAAGGCAAGTATCACACTGCCAGTTGTGCTCCTGTCCTTCAGATGCTTCTTCATCTGTTATCGGTGGTTTATGGCATTCTTGGTGGTAAAGGGTTCCACAACTAGAACATTCGATTAAACGGTTCGTGGCAGTAAAAACCATTTCACCACAAACAGCACAATTCAAATCGCCAAATTCTTTCAAATTAACATCTTCATCACCACCTGCAAGCATTGTGCTGCCGATGTTTGCACCATCGTCAGAGTCCATAATAGTATCTGGTGAGTCTGATATTGTCTTGGCAGGAGAACCAGTTAGATTTATGACTTCATCAACGGTGTGGCCTTGGTCTATTGTTTGCAGAGGTTCCTGAGGAGGTGGTGGTGTGGCGGCTCGACCAGGAAAATTTGCTTCCAGCTCAATAAGTTCTTTGCTCATATTGTTAGATATCATAAGCTCCGGACCGTAACGTTGTTTTATAGCTTCATCCAACATCATTCGCAGCTCCACAGCAGAGTTCGGATGAGGAGAGTGCAGCAGACGGATAGCTTTCCGCAGCATTTCCATTTCATTCGCATTTGCAGCCATTACGTGTTGTAATATAATCGATTTAACAAATTTAAGTCTCGTGGTAAACAAAAAATTTATTCACAACTGTTTCATGAAGTACTTCACAGGTTTATAATTCAACATTTATTTTTCCACAAGAGCATGAAAACAGCTGTTTTAACATAAGCTGCAGGGTTGCAGTAGGGAAAATTGCCTTCGACGGCATATGCAGAAGAGGCCATATTGAGAAAAATTAATAAAAACAATTCCAATTACATTAATATCATATCAATAGATATAAATTAAATCAAAAATATATCATACATTAACTTTGCTTAATCAAATCTATTCGTCTGTATGAACATATGAGTTCTACTTCGCATATGTATGTATTGCAATTGTGAAAAGTGCAATGAGTAGCCGGTAAAGTAAAATGTCGTGTGTGTGTGTAATCGGTTTTATCATCACTTCACCATTTCAACTTTCTAGCGATTTTCAATTGGTTAAGCTTGATTTGGTAAAGCAGCTGATTTTAAAAGAAAAAAATATATATCTTGGTTGATTTTAAACAAAGTGATAATCTTTAGTACATAGCTGGCTTATCGTACTTTTAATTTACTTTGATAAGACAAAATTGATTTCATAGTTAATTATGAATAAATAACGCAGTAGGTTATTGAAATGAATCGGATATTTATTGGTAATAAATATACAAGTGTGTTCATCTCGTCTTTAAGGCGCCAGTAAATTTGCAACAAAAAAATCAATAAACAGAAAGTGATAATTACTAGTTGCAACGTGCGTATAAATTCATTGACATTTTAGTGCGTATAATCTACAACGAATTTCATAATAATATTAGCAACAGTAAAGCATCAAATATCAAGTAAACAAAACTACAATGAAGCAGCAGTTTGTAACTTTTTTCACATCGTTGTTGTTGGCTATAAATGTGTGTTGTGGTGAAGATAAGGATCCACAGGTAAGATTAGGAAAAAGTTCTGCAAAAATTCTGGAATCCCTTAAAACAATTCATGTTTTTGTCCATATTTTCTATTTTGCTCATATTCTTAACATTTTGTCATTTTCTCATTTTTATTATGTGCTTCATTCGCCTTTCATAATGCTGCCACATTTGATTATTAAACATGGCTTTCTAGTATTGAATAAAAAAACACGTTGCCATAATTTGAAGCCGTGGTTGCTATAACGGTTGCAGCCGAGCTTTTATTTAATTTATAATTGTTTATTTAGTGTGAAATATCGTTAAAATGTCAAACGGGGTATTGACTTGCAGTTTTCTAATTGCGTGTATGAGTTTCTAATAATCCAACAATTCAATATTCTTTATCGGTAAACGTATTTAAATATAAAATTTTACGAAAATTAAAGATTTTAAGTAAGTCCAATTTCCTAGCAAAGTTTGTATGGGACAACGTAATGTGAAATTCTTTGTACAAATTGAGTAAGCTTCAAAATTTAATTGGTGAAATCACACTTCTTTACTTATCAAATACTAGAGCACGTCAGATTAAATTGAGAAGTGCTTTAAATCCGATTTTCGAGCAAAGTTTGTTTGGGCCAAAGTAATGTAATGATTCTTTGAACACATATATGTATGTGTCTTTAAGAATCCATGTTATACAAGTTTAAATATATAAATTTACGAAAATTAAAAGTTTAATTCACGAATCACACGTCAAGTTAAGTCCAAAAATGTTTAAAAATCCGATTTTCCAATATGGAAACCGTCTAACTGATTTTTTTCAAGTTTTGTATTGGCAAGTAAGTCCAATTGAAAATAAATTATACAGTTTTCTCCTATGTCAACGGGGATCGATATATTCCAAAACATCGTATTTTTAATTAGCTTTGCTTGATATTTGGAACATAGATAGGCTCACTGCCCAAGTGAAAACTTCATGTGATGACAAAATAAATATAGTTGAAAACTAATTACAAATCTTATTAGAACACCTTCCATGCGGGCGAGGCCGCAGGCGAAAATTAGTTTCGGATTTTTGTTTGGCCTAGATTCGAATACTTTCTTCATCGTGCTTAATTTTATAATTTCAAAATCATTTATCGCAAACAAGGTATCATTGAAAATTTAGTTCGAAACTCTAAAATTTATCAATTTGTGCGAAAGTTTTTCTTTTCTACTACTTAAGCTTCAGGTTTATTACTATTACTATAGTTGTCTAACAACACTAAAAACGAGACTCATCGTAGTATCAGATGAAAGGAAAAACAAACTTGACCATAATAGTATCTACAAACTAATAAAATACTTTAACATCTCCTTGTTGGATAGTGGTAATCCATTGAGTGAATGATAACCTACCATTCTTGAGTAAATATGTGATACAAATATAGATGTCAAATATTTCTTTATTAATCATTTTTTTAAGGAAGGATCACAGTAAAAAATGTTGAAAATTTTGAAAGAAATTCAAAGTGTGTAAGTAAACGTTTCGAACTTATGATTTAAAAGCAGATGTTATTTTTTCCATATTTGAGCCCCATTTTCATAATTATGTTATGTTTATAAATTGTGCTTAGATCAAAAAAAAATTTATTGCTATACCTTAGTGGTTTATTTATCAAGAAACATTTTTCCATACAAAAATTTAAATTAATTTATCCGGTGATAATTATATCAGGTTATCAGTCATTTGCACGTTTAAACATACGCATCCTTAAAGAAATCAATGTCAAATTAAGTTTATTAAGAAATTTGTTTGAATTTCAACATATCTGGTAACTACAAAACCCCAATCCAATTTAATTAGATTTTTGTAAATATGGCAACTACTAAAAACTAAAATTTTGGCAACAAAAAGTGTATTGATTCAAGACAATCATTTGCTTTCCTTTCACCCTTTCTATTACCAGATTCTAAATTTTTTTTGCTTTTTATGTTTTTCTCTACTTATGACGTTTCGTCTTGTATTGTTTCAAAATGGCGATTTATCTTGAAGAAAATTCAGTAGCTTAATTATTGTGAATCTGGCATCTTTAAGGGGTTTCAGATATTTTCCATTGCATTTAAATACAACAATACGAAAATTTAATAGTCATCGTCTCCTTTACTAACTGTATTTCCCTATAATAACTGCGCTTTTCCAAAGGGATTGACACATTTTCCGAGCTCCATCTGGCAACATTGTTTGTCTGCATGCGTTTTACATTTTTGACAAGACAATTTGCATTTCTTTATTATCTGCTTGGATAGTATTAGTTTTTGTTCTCCGAAGGCTTTGGTGAAAATCTGGAATCAAGTTAATATTTTATAACAGTTACCATTTACCGTTGTCGAAAAAAAGAGTTTTAGATTAAAATTGAAGAAAAATGATTACAGAAAATACGACGAATATGCATGCAAATTTGGGGTCAAAGAGTGCGATGAAAGCGCTTCAAATGGTCAAGAATCCGCAAGATGACATGGGATGGAAATCAAAGCTTAAGATTCCGCCAAAAGACAACCGGTTTAAGACGAGTGATGTTACCGATACTCGTGGAAATGAATTTGAAGAATTTTGTTTGAAAAGAGAACTTTTAATGGGTATTTTCGAAAAGGGCTGGGAGCGTCCATCGCCAATTCAGGAGGCCGCAATACCAATAGCTTTAAGCGGTAAAGATGTGTTAGCTAGAGCAAAGAACGGTACTGGTAAAACCGGAGCGTATTGCATTCCCGTTTTGGAGCAAATAGACCCAACAAAAGATTACATACAAGCCCTGGTGATAGTACCAACAAGAGAGCTCGCATTGCAAACATCGCAAATATGTATTGAACTTGCAAAACATCTAGACATTCGAGTTATGGTAACAACGGGAGGTACAATTCTAAAAGATGACATACTTCGCATATACCAAAAAGTACAGTTAATTATCGCCACTCCCGGACGTATTTTGGATTTGATGGACAAAAAAGTTGCGGATATGTCACATTGCAAAATTCTAGTTTTAGATGAAGCTGATAAATTGCTGTCTCTTGATTTCCAAGGCATGCTGGATCATGTTATTATGAAGTTGCCGAAAGATCCTCAAATTCTCCTGTTCTCAGCAACATTTCCGTTAAGCGTTAAAAATTTCATGGAGAAACACTTGCGGGAACCATACGAGATCAATTTGATGGAAGAGCTGACCTTAAAAGGCGTAACGCAGTATTACGCATTCGTTCAAGAACGCCAAAAAGTTCATTGCTTAAATACGCTATTTTCAAAGCTGCAAATAAATCAATCTATAATATTCTGTAATTCCACCCAACGTGTCGAATTGCTGGCGAAGAAAATAACGGAACTCGGTTATTGTTGTTATTACATACATGCTAAAATGGCTCAGGCTCATAGAAATCGTGTGTTTCACGACTTCCGACAAGGCCTGTGTAGAAATCTCGTATGCTCTGACCTCTTTACTCGAGGTATCGACGTGCAGGCCGTTAATGTTGTTATTAACTTTGATTTTCCGAGAATGGCAGAGACATATTTGCACAGAATTGGTCGTTCTGGACGTTTTGGTCATCTTGGTATCGCAATTAATTTAATAACCTACGAAGATAGATTTGATCTGCACCGAATTGAAAAAGAACTTGGAACCGAAATCAAACCAATACCTAAAGTTATCGATCCAGCTTTGTACGTTGCCAATGCCGCAGCCACACCTACGGAAACTAACAATGATCTAAATAATTCAGCAAATGAGGAGGGCAACATCAGCAAATGAACGAATATGAGGAATTATTATTTTAAAACTCAACAAAACTAAATACAACAACAACTGAAATACAAAACAATTATAGAGTTTGTCAAATAAATGAAATGAAATGTAATGAAGTTTGGCAAAAAACTGTTTTTTTAAATAAAGAACGTTAGTTCTGCGCAAAAAAACGAAACAAAAATTCTTGCTTTTGATTTAATATTTTGATTTTAGAAAAATAATAAGTTGGGTTAACACTTTAGTCATTTTGGTGGTTCTGATAGCTTTTTTTTTGTGCATCTCCTAATATACTTTCTTAGGTTTTTAGTTAAGGAAAAGAAAGTAAGTATTGAGTGACGAGCGGAAGAAATACAGTAAGTAGGTTCATCATTGGTTCGTTACAACTGAACTATTGTCAGGATCAACAAGCACAAATTTGCCGTGTTTTGAAAGTGTTACGTATCTACACACAAATTTTTAAAATACCATTTCAGGTTTTCTCAACTATTGAATGCCAGTTAACAGAGCCCATTTATGGTCAAAAATTCGACTTCAATTTTCTACATTCCGATATTGCGAAAGTGGCAAAGAGCCCCAAAGGGGATACATTTGAGTATAATATTTGTGGAAACCTAAGCCGCACATGTGACGGTAAAAACGTGGCCGCATGTCTTAGGAGAGGCGATCAGGAGTTTGTGCTTGGTATGTAGATAATTTTTATTTTTTCACATTGCTATCTTGTGTAAACTAATTAGAACTAATTTAAAAATTTCTTTGTATTATCCAGGCACGCACCATGTATTAAATTACAGACATGGTAAAATGTTTTTGGAATTCAGCAATGGCGCCAAGTGTCCTAATGGTGACGGTGATTTAAAGTTGTTCGTACATCTTGGCTGTGACTACACATTAGATGCGCAGCAATCAAGCGTGACGCCATATGTAAATAATAATTCGATATCAGAAAATTTGTCCGCAAATATTTGTATGTACATCACATTGTCTCGTTTTTTAGGCTGCTGATGCATGTAGTTTCTATATATTACTCGAAACGCCATATGCTTGCTTACCAGAACCGGATGCTGTTAAGTCAAATGGTTGCAGTATACAAGATCCTGTGAATGGACATAACTATGATTTGCTTTCGTTGAGTGATTTTAACTATAGGTTAAATATTAGCATTTTATTTATATTACCATATCTAAATATTATGTTTGCTTGCAGAGCAACTGATCGACGCGGAAATGCATTTGTGGTGAACATTTGTAAACCAGTCTTGTATGGAGAGAACGTGATGTGTCCAAGTGACAGTAGCGTATGCTTCATTCAGCTGAATTCCACCGATTATAAAAAACGGTTTGTGGATAAGTTTGAAATCAAGTCATGATTATAGAATATTCACATACATTAGGATCTTCTTTCTGCATTTAGGCGAACAACAGTCGATTTCTCAAGTGAATAACTATTAACTTATTGCCTCAGAATAATAAATTAGCCTAAATAATATGAATAAGGCATTAGCAATGAAGACCATCGGTATTTCTCATTTGAATAGTACGATGAGTCTCTTTTTCTACTAGGGCTAAGATATTTGCTTTCACCATATGTAGCGTATGCTATATACTATACTATATAGAATATCAAAATTTCAAAAGCTGTACAAAAAATTCAGAATCAAAGAGAGAAATAAAGTTCTAAGAGGATTGCTGAGGGATGAAAAAAATGTTCCTTCAATATTTACAAAAATAAAATCAAACATTCAAACTTTAAAATTCAAAATTTGTGTAAAGTAAAATATTCTGCCTCTGTTAAAAATAATAGGAGCTCATTTATTTTATACTTTATTATCTGTGCTCTTTCTGTTCCTTTTAGTAACAAAAAATGTTTAAAATAAAAAATTAATTGCACAGCTTAATTTATCCACTCTAAGTGAGTTACGGAAATTCGGTATGAAAAAAGACCCAAAATAAAAAAAATCTTTGAAAGCAAATACAGAGAGAGTATCAAAAATTGACTCTTGTAGGCCTATCCTCTCTGTTAGCGGTAAAGTAAATTTTGTTACTTTTCTTTAACACCCGAAATTGAATTTGGTATTCTGGCGAACTGGTCCCAATGTTTGAAAAAAATTTGGCCGCCCTGCTTTTTTTTGTCCATGTAAAATTACATTTGCCAGTTGATAAAGTAAAAAGAAAAATATCCTTTTCGAAATGGAAGACGGTGCACAAAAAAATTAAAAAGTTTTATTAATTTGTTTATTAAATCATAATATTTGAACCCAATTATGGAAAATATGCCTGGATAACAAAAAAAAGCTGAATGAAAACGTTATCTTACAAATTAAAGGACTATTTTTTAGTCTCGAAAACTTCTTAAAATACAGCTTTTTGCACTTTTTTCTTCATCTTCAATGAATTCCAGGTCTATAATATATGCCAACCCATTTTGGTTTTTTATTTTTTTCTCAAACTTACAACACAAAATCAAACAGCAGACATTTTTGTTACCGCCTATTTTGCTAGTAACAAAATTTACAGGGTGACAGTGAACTCAGAATACGAAATAGTAACAAAATTGACTAAATGGTAAATTTTAATACCAAAGTAAATTTTTTTATCTTGACAGAATAGGCCTGTTGATGTAACATAGTGGAGAGATTTACGTTTGATGACAACCCGAATGTGTTTTCGGTCGATATTGGGTAGACAAGCACAAACTATAAGAGACTCTTTCTTCGCAGCGAGAACCACATGGCGTACAGTTAGGGAAATATGTAACTTTCCGACGCCAACGTCTTTTCTACTTTTGAGTGACTCACGGAAAAAAGGGGATTCTTTGTAAAAATACTCTAGAATGGTCACACAAAGTAGATGGTAAATGCTGGTAGATTTTAAATTCAATAAAAGTTACAAATACTGCATCAAATGTTAGTTTAAATTACAATAGTAATTGTATTTACCTCTTATTTCCTTGATTTATTTACTATTCCACCATTTGTTTGGGTTACAAAAATTTAGTAAATACAGAGACTAAGGGAAAGTAACTTCAAACTTTATGTACTATTCTTTAGAAAATTGGGTCATTGTAGTTTTTCTCTGCAATTCGTCATAAGAAATTAGTAGTAAAATTATTTTATTTCTCAAACTTTAAGTAATAGATCTGAATACCTTATTATTAATATAATGTGCGTAGACTTGTGAAATATACAAAGATTTCGTTTAATTAATTTCTTTTGACACTTAGTTTTTTCAACTATGGCACCGTACAACCTAATCCAACAATAGAAAATGGTAATCTCATTATGCGTCTTCCATCTCCGACACCGTGCAATGGAACGTCTAATTACTCATCAACTATACATTTTATGTGTGATGATGAAAAGAAGGTAAGCCGACTATAAACAAATTACTTAGGTCTGCTAATTTTTTACTTTTTTCATTTTAGATTTGAATCTTTGAGTATTTTTTTTTAATTCCCTTCATGTGAACTCCAATATTAGACGCATTTTTCAGTCACAATTAATCAGATGTTTTTTTTCTCGGATTTTTGTCCCAAAACATCATTTCTGGAAAAATCAGCTGTATGGGAGCTATTCGATATATTATTTATTTGTATATTCAAGTGTAGAATGCAAAATTTCATGCTCTTAGATGTTTTTGTTCACGGTTCCGGCAAATTATCGTTAAATGTACCATTTGATATGCATTTTGATGGGTCTATCTCTTCTCCTGGTAATTACATGTACAGCTTTGGGCAGAGTTTTAGCTTTGGACAGTTTGTTTGAAAAATTACAGTTACTTTTCTGAGAACACCAGAATGAATTTCTCAATAGTAGGTCATTATTACTTAGAAAACCAGCAACAACAAATTCCAAAAAAAAGTATCTTTATCATTTCTCCTTTGCTGTCGATGCTTCGGTTTTGTTAAATTGCATCGCAAATGTTTTGGACAACAATTTAGCGCACTCACATGTCTTCTGTCACCATTTGTGGTCGGGTGTACAAATAATTTAGAATTGTTGTTATTTATAAATATTTTAATAAAATGGCCAGAAGAAACTACTGTTTGATAGAAAAAAGCTTTTTTGGGATCTTTACAAAAAAGTTAGAAATCAAGTGGAAATTTCCAGTGGGTCACAATGTCACCCAGGATACTAATAGTGATCCCAATTTGTTATCTCATAACAAAGTACGTGAAGCTCCGGCTCGCAAAATAACCCCCGGCGAGAATAAAATAATTGCTAGGAAGAGTAAATCAGATCCACTTAAATCTTCACGTGCAATAATGGCCGAAGTCATTAGTGTGAAGATGTCTGAATGAAAATAATTCGTATGGACGTGTCAGCCGACAAAAACTTCTTCTGTAGAAAAACAAATTTAACGCAGGTATTCACAGATCGAAAGACTTACATTTGGAAAAGATTACTTTATAAGTACGAAACCAAAATAAATCGCATTGGACCTGATGGTGAAACGTATTGGGTTGCCCAAAAAGTAATTGCGGATTTCTCATATAGTCGGCGTTGACAAATTTTTTCAATGGCTTGTGACTCTGTATTTAAAAGGAAGACAGTGTCAAAATTGTTTTCGGAAATTCCGTTNCTTTTAAAAAATCCGCAATTACTTTTTGGGCAACCCAATATTTACATGGCGAGAAAAATCAAGAAATCAATCCCAGACATATCAGAAAAAACCGTGAAGCACGGTGGAGGAAATTTAAAAGTTTTTGGGATTTTTTCGTGCACAGTGTTGGACCTATGGTTGAGATAGAAGGAAATATGTATAAATTTGCATATCTTCAAATACTTAGGAGCCATATTTATTCGAAATTATGCCACTTAACTGTACCCTTATGCACGATAACGATCCGAAAATTACAGCAAAAGTGGTTTTTAAGCCAGCTGTCCCAAGAAAAAATTTCAGTTCCTGATAGGCCAGCTGAAAGTCCCGCCCAGAACCCAATCGAAAACTTGTTGAATGATGTAAAAATTACAGTTTGGCTAAGGAATTTAAAATCTGCGACGAACTCTCTACCTTTGGACAGGGAGCGCAAGTTAATAGAAAGCTTAATGAATTAATAAATAAGTTTTGTACAGCATAAATAATAGGCGATTTGTAATCGCTGAAGCGACTTTCGGCTGAGCTCCTCCTCCAATTTGTGGTTTTTGCTTCTTCATTTTTCCAACAGCTGGAGGGACCTACAATTTATACTAAGCCTCCTCCGAATGGGTGATAGCTATTTTCTTTTTTAAGAGCTTTATTTCATGTCAGAAATATACTCGAAGGGGTTGAAATTCCCTGCCGACAGTTCATAAGGTCCAGAGCAGATGTCTGACTATTTGATCTGTTTACATATTCCCATTCCTGCTCCCCTGCTGAGTGAGCATAATGGCTTTACTCTTATTAAATATAATATTATTGAGCATTCTTTCAGACAATGAACTAGTGCGCCATATCGTTGTCCATTGCTGTACATATATGTACATACTTCGAACCAAAGTCAATATGCCATTTCATGCGCTTGGAGTGTATAATGAGCGATAAAACCTTGAACCCGTTGCATTTTTTTTAATTTGTTGAAATTACATTAAATTAAATTTAAAACTAAAAAGGGTAGACCGTTAGAGGCGAAATTAGTTCCTTAATAAAATTTGTATAAACTATTGTTTTATCTAACTTTATTTACAATTTATACAATTTTTCCTTGTCAGAGCTCCAAATTATCTTTTCTTGGCGTTAATGAGTGTGTGTACGAATTTTCGTTTACCACTCCATTGGCATGCAATGATAATCCACCTTGCACCACGATAACTCATGGCAGCGAATTGTAAGTACATATATTGCTTTTTATATTCATATAATATGTATATATGTATATACATATATATAAACTTTTTAATATTAAATTTATTTTTTTTCCTTCTCTTTTCACGCCTCTGCCTGCTTGATCCGGTTTGCGATAAACCAATCGTTACACTATTTTTTTTAATATTTTTTATTTCATTTTTATCTTTATTTTGCAATACTTTTACAAACATACAAAATAATTGCACAGTTTGGATATGCGTTCGCTGCAGGGCAAAACATATGAATTGTCAATGCCTACGAAGAACTATACGTTGGGTATCTGCTCGAATGCAGGTCAGCCGTGTATGGCAAATGATGGTAAGTGGATTGTATTTTCATTTTCACAGTATATGTATGCACATGCAAAATGTGTACATATAAAGAGAAACTTTTTTATAATATATTTATACATGCTCACTGCAGTTTGTTTTCCCTTAAAGAATCTGCTCGTTTCGTTTCGAAACCTCGTTTGTTCATAATTAATTTGAAACTGTTCGAACGAAGTGTTACCAAAAAGTAATATTAAAAGTTATAATTATAATATAAACTTAAAATACTAATATTAATTATTTATTTATTCAAAAAATATATGGTCTGAAACAGTGCTATAGAAACCCAAAAATATCAGGTGTACAACTTCGCTTCCGCCGTTTTTTTCCCAAAATTAAAAGCTTTATTGCGAAAAAGTGCTTACAGATATATTATTCAAAGTATTGTCCTTCGCTAGCGACAACTTTCTCCCACCTTTCCGGCAATTTTCGGATTCCGGCTCGAAAAAAGGAGTCCTCTTTTGACGCTATCCATGAAGCAATCCATTTTTCCAATTCTTTGAAGGATTGAAAATGTTGATCTGCCAGGCCGTGTGCCATCGAACGGAATAGGTGGAAGTCAGAAGGGGCAGGGTGGGGCATGACTTCCCATTTCAGCGTTTCCAGGTACTTTTTGACCACTTTTGTGAATATTCGGTTTTGCCTTCGACGACACGTTCTTTCACTCAGAGCAGCATCACCGTAAGTTTCTGAGAGCATTCGATGCGCTTCAGCTGCATTTTTTTCGAATTCTAACAGAAAAGTAAAACTTCCCGCAAATGGCGAGAATTAGGCACATAAACGGACATTTTCGAGCGTGAATAAAACGAAAACAAGAACAACTGGCACTGAAACGGCGATGACAATTCGTTAGGCACTGTCCACACTCACTTTAAAGGCATTATCATCTATGTATTTCAACCAGCCTCAGCCGGTACTGCCATCTATCGGAAAACGGCGGAAGCAAAGTTGTACACCTAATAATTCAACAGAATAATGACTTGAAAAAGCATCTAGGAATTACGGAATGCCGTGCGAATGAGATTTTCCAATAATAATTCCAATAAAAAGGGCGTTTCCGTATAATATTTGTTGGTAAATTTTTCGCAAAAACAACTACGGCTACAGAATATCTGAGCACTTGATCGTGGTTATGTAGGTAAAAGGAAAAGTGAATAAAAACAACAATAATTAAAAGCGGCACACGCGTAGCTTAATGTTATAACCATTGGCTCGTGCTGTGGGCATCCCAAGTTCGTATCCAATTCGAACAAAGGTGTCTGGAAAAAGAAGTCTGATGAGGAAAAGTGGTGGTTCCAAAAATAGCAGCTATAACTTCTACCGTCCAAAACTATTGTTGTAATTTTTTCACTATTTCCAAAAAATATTCAGACCATTCCAGTGCCAGAAAAAGAAAAACCCGAAAAAATATTAATTATTATTTAATAGAGTTCACTGTATTTATACATGTTGTTGTTGTAGTCGTAAAAAAACTTCCCAAAGTAGTTTTTGGGGAATGTTGCAGTAGTGACAGTCCTTGGCCGGATAAAATTTCTTGGCCTTCCAACGTTTAGAACTGATTGTCGTGGGAACCCGTAGATATTAGTCTCCTCTTACGACGGGCTTGTCTTACTATCTACGTTTGAATTTTTGAGCTCCTACCCCGCAGGTGAACTGTATTTTTATATCGTCATATTTTCCTTAAATTTTAATGCAAAGTGTATGTATAAATGTACATAAATATATTTATTCCATTATAATGACTTCAATATTTTATGTAGATGAGCACGTATGTATATTTGAATATGTGCATATATTTGTAATATAAAAGACATTTTATTTCGATACAAATATTATTTTATGGTCTGTGATACTCAAATGATGGGCTGTAAATGCATCATGGATACTGCGTACGCATGTGTTGATACATACATATGTATACATGTACGGTAAAACCTGAGTAAGCGAGAACTGCGTAAGGAAGAAAACTCTATATGTAAATGCGAATATTTCTCAGGTTGCAGACTTTGACTGCCCAAAAACCTTCATAAGTTCAAAAAAAAAAACTGTAACTGGCAGCCGTTATCGTTGTTGTTGTTGCCGACCCCACATAGGAGCGGGCGAAACTCGGAGTCATCTAATGGAAGGTTCAGGAAACGACTTGTTTTCACAGGTTCGGAACGTAAGCAAAGTGGGGTTTATATGAGTAGGCTTTAAGGGGGCTCGCTTGCGAAGAGATGACGCACGATAGTAGCCACCTCTTTGCATGCATGCTAGGACGTTTTGTATGCTGGGGTTAAATCTGGATAATTAGAATTTAAGTCGACTACAATATGCAGATCTTCATTGTGCCAGTATCGCTCGTTTCTCTAGAGACAGTTCGAGCTCTTCGTCTGCAATATCTGATGATTCGATTCCGACTGAAAGATAGTTTAAAATGGTGTCTCTGTGCTCATAACGGTAGCATAATAGCAGATATTCCTTCCACAGCATAGCATTACATGACGACATTAGGAGATTTCCTTTCTCGCTACTCCGCGGCGTCCAAACCGGCCTGATAGTAGCACTGAATGATTGATGGTGTCAACGGCTCAGTTCGCGTACAGAGACGATTTTGGTTAAGACCACGAATAATTTGTTAAAATCGGCTGAAAACCGACAGAGTTATTTAATGTTGAGATACCGAAGTTCTAGATGGCGTACCCGGTGCAGACATTCCTACTAGTAAAAAGTTCGTTCGGATTTCTTATTGCTTTTTAAAAATATGATAACTTGTCCGATTTGAGTCAAATATGCAGAAGGTTGCGTCCCTATTGGCAAAAAACTCGGAGAGCCAACTTCTCACCATTAAGCGCATTCGCCATGGTCCGGACTATAAAATGGGTGCATTAGGACGCCCCATCCGTGATCCTGGAACTTCTGGCGCGTCACCAAAGACCTGTGTGGCCTGGCGTTGTTCTGATGGAAACACAATTCGGTCTCTATTGATCAAAGATGGTCTTTTCTGGATGAGTGCTGCCCTCAAGCGGTCCAGTTGTTGGCAGTAGAGGGCCGAATTGAGCGTTCGGCCATAGGGGAGCAGATCGTAGTAGATTATTTCTTGCCAATCCCACCTATTGGACTACTCCAATGGACCATATGGTCCACAACTGTTCGGAGGGTAGCTAGCATTACTACACTTGTAGTACACACTTGTACATACACATACGTGTTTAAAATAAGGTTACATCAAGATAATAATTTTATCCACAAAACGGCTTAACAGTTTATTACAAAAAGCTAAAGGGATTGCATTGCACAATATTTCTTCGATATTAACAACATTTCGGAAGATTCACTATATTTTTATGTCGTTTGAAAAACGTAAGGTTATCCATTTCGTGGTTTCAAAAGTACAGATCGCTTAACAACCACATAATGCAATAAAATTATTAAAATAATAATCAGCGACACAATTCTCACTCGGTGCATACGTAAATAAGCCCACACGATGCCACATGCCACACAATACGAGCGAATATGGCTTTATTGCGAGAGATATTTATTTCCCAGCGCGTAAACTTGACATCGTTGGATTTTTGTTTGTGGAGCTACGTGAAAGACCGTGTTTATGCGGTTAAACTTTAAACTCTTGAGCACTTGAAAGCCAACCGTCGTCAAGTTAAGGCTGAGATACCGCCCAATATAAATATGCCAATGCCATTTGTCAAAAATTACCAAATTGTCATAAATGAGTGAATGATAACTTCAAAAAATCATTTCTCATTCGGGCGTCCGTCACGCTCTTCGTCGTTCACAACTTCTCGGCCTTCTGAGAACATTTTGTACCACGGATAAACGTTGCTTCGGTCCAAGCTAGCTTTTCCGTATGCCACCGTCAACATTCGGAATGCATCCGCGAAAATTCAAAATTCGCGATACTTTTTGAACACACCTCGTATGTTTACATATCTAAATGAAAAAACTTTGTAAAAATTGCGGGCATTTTTGGATTTTCGGTAGACAGGTAGAAGGGAAAAAAATTATGACACTTCACATGGGCCAAAGTGGCTGCAAATTATTTTCTTTGTATGTATATATATGTGTAGAAGCTCTTATAAGCTAAGAAATGAGATGGATTGGACGGAAGTTGATGTCACGTTGGCGCGACGATGTCAAAATTGTCTGAAGCATCCCCTTCTGAACTTATGCTGATTGACTTCGCCGGAGTGCAATCGCTACTCGCTATTCAGCCCTACGTACCGACTTTCAATAAACTATTATTTTTGATAAAAAGGAATATCGAACTGCGGTGAAAGGAAAAAAGTAAATACGAAGGTTATGGTATTGTTCATGGTTCATGACAAATTGTTGTTGTTCCAGAACCGACCTCTTTTTTTGGAAGATTTTGACGAGCAAATGAACTTTACCCCGCGGCGCCTGCTTACTGAAAAATTAGTAATCAAAACCTTTAAATTTGACGTTCTCTTTTTCGGAATTGGCACATGCTTAGCAATGATGAAGTTTTTGATGGTATTTGAGTTATCTTGGTGCGAATTTTACGACAAAATGTAATGTATAGTCAATCGATTTGTTGAGATCCTCTCTTCACTGTTCGCTGAAAACACCTTGTAGCAACAATAAACGGCCCAAGGTAGATGCGCCAAATATTTATCAATGAGATTACTGCCATGATATGATAAGCTATATATCGATTCCACTGATATTATGATGCCCATGACTTCTAATAAAGAAAATTCAGAAGCTCCATTTCTCACTATATTTCTGAGGAAAAACTTTATTAGAACGTTCCGCTAAATTTCTTTCTCAAGCAAATTCTACATAAATTAAATATTTTTACTATCAAATAGATTATTCTGAAGAAATGAAATTATTATGTTTTAATTGGACCAGTTGAAAACCAGTCTCAAAATCTAATCTTTCACTGCTCTCACAATAACGCTGCCATCGTGCGTGTATTTACTCTTTACGAGAGAAAATTTAACTATCCGCCTTTCAGCTGGTTTTAGG